TTCTTGCCAAGGCCCTTGGGAGCCAGTGAGGGGCTGATGGAGATGGGCAGCTGGGTACGTGGTCCTGGCAGGCCAGCGGGCAGGCGGAGGCGCGGGTGCAGCTCCGGCTCTGGGCACTAACGAAGCCCATTGGAGCACCCATGGGAGGGGGAGGAGAGCTTGAATTTATTTTTTTTTGAAAATTTGGCTCAGACATTTCCGCCCTTTAACAAGGGTGAAAATTGTACAGAAATTACAGACACATGCATGTGGACACAGATATGGATACATATGTATCCATATCTATGTCTATATAATGAGTTACGTTGCCTGATTATATAATATCAGTTCACACATATATTACTCAATTTCAAATGCCAGGAATTAAGATACCACTTTAAAGAGTTTAAGAATTCACTTTAAGAACCTCTAAGACCAGCTACATGGGATGCTGAGGCAGGAGGATTGAAAGTTTGAGGCCAACCTGGGCAACTTTGCAAGACCCTGTCTCAAAAGAAGAGGGCATATTAGCCTTTTAAGGGCTCTGAGAGGTCTTACAGGAAAAAGTGTTTTCCCGACAGTTTCTAAAGTTGTTTGATCACATGGCATTGTTTCCAGTTAGGTTTATTATGAATTTCCAGTTCTGAGGAACATCTTGGAGGCTGCCTCCCCCTAGTCCTGACTCCACTCGGGCCATCACCCAGCTGCAGTGTGGGACAGAGCTGTGGGGCCAGGAACTGCAGGGACCGGAAGAGCATGGGGCGGGCAGGCAGGTGGGCTACTCTGTCAATAGAATGTACGCCTGTTTTTGCAGCTCTCGCCCGGACATCATTCTCCAGATCTCAGGCAAAAGAGGCACAGCATTAGCAAGTGTGGGAGTGAGCTGGGACCCCACAGTGGCTGTGCATTGGTCCTAATCCACCGCACTCTTTCCTTTGTCCTCATGTAACTGAGAGTTGTGTCAGCAGCACGGGCCACAGGGCTGAGAAGAGCCGATGTTCCCACCTGAGGTGGAGCCCAAACCTGCAGATCAGCCCCCTGCACTCTGACCAGTCCTTCCTCTTTGCTGCTGCCTGTGGGACTCCTGCCTCTCCGATGGGCCTGTGGGTGCATGGGAGGCAGACTGGTCATACCTCCCTCCCTCCCTCCATCCTTCCCTCCTTCCCTCCCTCCCTCCCTCCCTCCCTCCCTCTTTCCCTCCCTCCTTCCCTCCCTCCCTGCTTCCCTCCTCCTTTCCCTTGGCACATTATTCATCATCTCTGTCTCTGGCTCTCGTTTTTAGGTCTCTCTCTCTCATTTTTAGGTGATTTTTACCAAATAGCTAACATTAAAACTACATTAGGGTACCATCTTACTCCAGAACGAATGGCCATCATGAAGAAATAATAACATGCTTGTGAGGCTGCTGGGGGAAAAGGAGCCCTTCTACACTGTTGGTGGCAGTGTGAACTAGTAAAAGCACTACGGAGATCAGTATGGAGAGTCTTCAAGAAACTAAAACTAGAAATTCCATTTGATCCAGCTAGTCCCCTTCTAAATTAACTTCCTGAAAGAGGTAAAGGCATCGTATTACAGTGATACGTGCCTACTCATGCTTATAGCAGCATAATTTATAATTGCTAGATTTCCAGTTCTTACGGACAAACACGGCGTATACAGTGTGTCCATCAGCAGATGAATGGATGAAGAAAATGTGGTATTTCTACGCAGTAGATACACTTGATTTGTCATTGCACAGAGTTGAGTCCACAGCAGGGGGCTCCCTGGCACCCTGGAGTCACCTTGGGTGATGCTTGGAGCTGTATACTGTTCGTTAAGAGTGGGCGGAGTGGAGAGATTGAGTTACCTGCCTGGAGTGATCACCACTATGCCCCATTTGGAAAACAAAACATACATGGTCAGACGCTTTTGTTTTTGGTGCTAGGGATGGAACCCAGGGCGTCATGCATACTAGGCAAGCCATCTGCCACTGAGCTACAAACCCCAGCCCTTTTTATTTTTTATTTTGAGACACAATGCCCAGGCTGGCCTTGAACTTTCTGTACTCCCTCCTCAGCCTCCTGAGTAGCGGGTGCCGCCACATCTGGCTAAGGTCAGATACCTTTTAAAAAATAGTGTCCTTTCTTCTCCTTTGGTAGTTTGAAGAAGTCTTGCAGTTATTGAAAGCAAGATCCTCAAGTACTGTTTAACAGGAGGATGGTGTTTTGTAGCAGAACTTAGGGGTCAGGTTCTAACTCATCCCTTGTTCCTAAGAGAGGTTGTGGGTAACGTTTTTCCTTAAGGGTGGCAGGGAAATACCAAAGGTGACAGGCCCAGCCTGAAAGCCCCTGTCAGGGCTTCTGTGAGGTGGGGGCACGGGCCTGTGCTGCTCATATTACTAGAGGTTGTACGGTTTTAATGTTTTTATGTTACAAATTCCTGCGTCCTATCTACTTCCAAGAGGGTTTAGGGCAGAGACAGAGTCATGTCAGGAATGACATCATTCTGTTTTTCCCCTTGGTGCTAGGGACTTAGCTCATGGCCTTCCGCGTGCTAGGCAAGTACCTTTTTATTTTATTTTGAGACGCAGTTTCACCGAGTTGCCCAGACAAGACTCCACCTTGTGATCGTCCTGCCTCAGCCAAGCAAGCAGCTAGGATTACAAATGTGTGCGATGGCACCTAGGTAGAAACTACACAGTTTCTCCATACAGCTGCAAGGCCCACCTACAAAGCCCTGAGGAGGCTGAAAAGGGGGAGGTGCTTGCTCTGTAGCTGTGGGGAATATCTGCGGTCCCCCATGGTGATCTGTGTGGCCTGAGTGTAGACGGTGTCTGAGGCTCCCACTGTGTTTCCCGTCCACAGTCTCGCCTCAGCGGTCTCACTGGGAACTGCTCTGGAGGATGATGGCTGTGATAATGGCAGAGCTCTTCAGGAGTATTGGGTCTGGCAGCTCCATTCTGTGTAGATCGGAATTTCCCACCAGGGCCCCTGGGCTAGCTAGGAGAATCACCCCAGAGCCATGGGAGTGCAGATTCCTGGGTCCACCTGGATGCCTTGGACTAGGATCCTTGAAAGGAGAAGTCTTAGGCTTTGCATTTTTCACAAGTTCCTGGGGGAAGTCCTCTGCTTCTGAAAGCCTGCAAACTACTTAGGTCATCAGAACGTCTTCGAGAAGGTTCCCCAGGGAGTGGCTTGTGTGTGGATGGATTCGGGGAAGGGGCCCAGAGTCTCTTGTGCATCAGCAGCCACCAGGGTTCCTGAGGGACTTCAGGGTTCCTTTCAGATGCCCCTCCCTCAAACAGATTGTGCCTGCTTCCTCCTCAGACAAGGTGGCATCTCGGCAACACCCACCTCACACCCATGTGTCCCCACAGACCCTGAGCTGTCTTCCCTTCCCCCAGGACAGGAGCTCCTGCCCCCTGCCTGCCACTGAGTCCTGTCACCTCAGCCCTGTTCAGTCCTTAGACAAATATTTGCAGGGACTGAGCAAACCCTGAGAGGAGAGCCGTGTGCGGAGAGCTGAGGAGAAGGGGCGCCGTGTGACTGGGGTTTGGGCGGGGGCCATGTGTTGGGGGCAGTGGGAGTCCAGAGAGCTGTCACAGGTCTAGGGTTGGCACCGGGAAAGTCCATGGACAACAAGCATGGAATGTGAGGTGTCTTTTTTCTTTCTTTTTTTTTTTGCCTTATTGAGATATAATTGACAAAAATTGTGTTCATTCAGGGTGCACACTGTGACATTTTGGTTTATGTATCCATAGTGATTACCACAATCAGCCAATTAGCACATCTGTCCTCTTATGTAATTATTCTTTTTCTTTTTTTCTTTTTTTTTTTTTTTTTTTGAGACAGGGTCTCACTGTGTAGTTCAGGTTGGCCTTGAACTCACTTTGTAGCCCGGGCTGGCAACTTACGGTGATCCTCGTGCCTCAGCCTCCCTAGTGCAGGGATTATAGCCATGTGCCACCATGCCCTGGCATTATTCCCTTTGTTGTGGTGAGAACTTTTTAAGATCTACTTTTTCTTTAGCAAATTGCAAGTATTGTATAGGACACAGTATAATTGTTAAGCACAGTGATAGCACTTGAGGTCTCCAGAACTTACTCAGTGTGGACCTGAATGATACTGAGTGAGTCAGCCAGGCACAGGGGGAAGGTGCTGCCGGATCTCATTTACTTGTGGCATTGAAAAAGACAGAAACAGTGTAGACAGGTGGGAGGGGATGGATAAGGATGTTGGCCAGAGAGCCCAGACTATCTGAGAGGTGGGTCCCTGACCTCACTGGATCATCACTCCTCTAATCTTCCGTACCCCTCTTTTCTTCTGCCACCCTTTAAATGTCAAGGACCCAGGGACCATCAACACAGGTGCCCATGTGCTCCTGCCCCACCTGTTCCCCGATATCCTGGCGAGACTCACATGCTGGAGGAGTGGGGCTGGTGCTTGAGTGGGCGCCTTTCTGCGTCCTCTAGTCTTCTCCGAGGCGAGGCGCTCTGCGTCCATTGCCACACTCACCGTGTGTGGGTGTGGTCACGATTGTGTACTTGCAGCTCTTGGGAAATTGTAATACTTCTCCAGAGAAAACAGTCCGGCTTGACACTTCTGTACTCCCCAGGTGTTGTATTATTACGTATATGCTGCAAAGGTTGAGACCTGGTTTGTAGGATGCCTACATTCACACTGCAGCAACTTGGTGCCAGTGCAGATTCTTAATGGAAATGGTGGCCTGTTGATTTCACATAACAATCTTAAAACGAGAAGAACTTGATACAAGTAGATCAGTAACAGCTTTACTTATGTTTTCTTTTTAAAACCGTGTTAGCCATTCCTAAATATCTTTCCTTTTAAATTTAAAATTGTATACACAGTTTTAAAAAGTTTACGTAACAAATGTGCTTACACAACGTGGGCACCTCAGTTTCAGGAAATGTGCCTGAGCACTTGGGGGTATAGGGAAGGGGGAGGGATCAGAGCACTGGCCTTGGATTTTGGTGTCAGCTCGCTGTGCCTGAACCTGTGTTTGTTTTTTTTTTGTCGTTGCAGGTGATTTTCAAAGCCAAGTCCAAATACTCTCCAGAATTACTCAAATACCGGTGAGTACCTGGGCATTTCTCTCCATGATGGAGCTGGAAGCTTGCACATGAAGCCACCTCTCACTTGTGCTCTGGGCTGTGCATGAGCTGCTTCCCTGGGAGCCCTGAATGGTCCCGCTTGCCTGCTGTGCGCCTGTGGCATCCTCCGCATGAGAGGCAGCTCATGGGTTACGACTTCCTCGAGTGTGTCAGCCTTCTGCCGCGGCGACCAGGTGCTGTACCTGCGGCAGTTAGAGGGAAGAGATTGATTTTGGCTCATGCTTCCGGAGGTTTCAGTCCATGTCGGCTGCTCCAGGGCAGGAAGGCTGTGGCAGAAGAAAGCTGCTCACCAGGGGCAGCTGGAAACGGAGGAGAAAGAGCAGGAAAGGGGCTGGGGAGCAAATACAGACCCGGGGCACACTCCCGTGATCCACCCACTTCAAGAGGTCTCCACCCCTTTTTAAATTACCTCCCAGTGATGCTGCTGCTGTGGGCCATGGGAGTGACAGGTATTTGGCTCGTGCTGGGGTGCCTGTGGAGAGCCTTAGGTTGGGAAGGGAGCCCCTTAAATTATGAGCCCAATTTATAAGAAGAGGTGGCACCACATACTTTCCCTGGGGAGGTGGTCTGTGGCTTTCCTCAGATTTTCAAGGAGGCCTGTGATCCCCAAGCCTAAAGCCAGGGTTTAAAGAATGGTTAGACTTGGGGCTGGGGATTTAGTTCAGCGGCACAGCGCCTGCCTGGCAAGTGCAAGGTCGTGAGTTTGATTCCCGGTACCGGAAAAAAACCAAAACCCAAAAAAAAAAAAAAAAAAGAAGAATGGTTAGACTTGAGCTGGGCAGGGTGGTGTGCACCTTACTCCCAACACGCAAGGCTGAGGCATGAGGATCCCAAGGTTAAGCCCAGCCTGGGCAACTTAGCAAGATAGTACTTAAAAAAAAATGTGGGTACAGGGCTGGGGATATGGCTCAGTGCAAAGGCCCTGGGTTCAAGCCCCATATCTCCATCATGGGGAGGTGGGGGCCCAATTTGGTAAGGGTGGGGCCTAAGGGAGAAAAGGCCTGTGGTGTATGAATGGTCTCACCCTGGAGCACTGCCCATCCTAGGCACATGGTTCTAGGAAGGCAACCGTGGCAGGTCACCTGCATAGGTCAGGATGAAAGATTATTTTGTTACTTAAAAAAATGTTAAAATGTATACATATTATAGTTTATTTAAATATAGTCTGTGTTCCATATCCATGGGTTCAACCAACTATAGATCAAAAATACTCAGAAAAAAATTGTATCTATACTTAGCATGTATAGACTTTCTTGTCCTTATTCCCTAAATACTATGTAGCAGCTACAGACATAGTACTTGGCATCGTAGTAAATATTGTAAGTAATGCAGACAGGACCTAAGCTCCACGGATGGATGTATACAGGTTCTGTGCAAATACTGTGCCATTTGATGTAAGGGCTGTGCCATCTGGGTTTTGGTATCTGGGAGCCCTTGAACCAGTTCTCTGTGGATACTGAGTCCACTGTGTGTACGATCTAACTTGATTTAAAATTTTGAAATTGTGATACTTTCACCCTGCTTTACATCCAGGGGGACACGTTCAGGTAGTTTCTCTGAAGTTTGGGAAATGACATCTAGGGCCCCGCCAGGATACAAGTCCGGAGACTTGCCCTGGGATGTGGTTTTCTCCTGAGTGTGCTGTTTTCCTTTACTCCTTTTTGGGTCGTTCTACTTACATTTTCCCCAGACTGATCAGCTGGAACTGCATAGACTTTACTGCTTGAGCATCCTGAGTCAAAAAGTCAGAAATCCAAAATGCTCTGAAATCTGATACTCTTTTTTTCTTTTTTTGAGATGGGGTCTTGTTGTGTTGCCCAGGGTGGACTTGAACTCATGATCCTACAAGCAACTGGGATCACAGGGAAATACCACTATATCTGGCAAACCTGAAACTGGGAGGTGTAATGTCGGCACTCAGAGTTGTTCCAGTTTCAGGGATGGGTATGTAGCTCAGTAGTAGAGCACCCTTGTTGAATGTGCAAGGCCCTGGGTTCAATCCTGACCACTACAAAGAAAAATGTCTCTGATTTTTCAATTTTGCATTAGAGATGCCCAAGTCTTACAGACGTGGAAAGAAAAAAAATCTATTTCCCACCCCCCAGCTCTAAGGAAATACAGTGATACATTGTCATTGGCAGTATGGGGGCGGGGAGAAGGGGGTCCAGAAGCAGCAGGCTGGGGTGTTCTCCGAGATTCCGAAGTGTGTGCTTCATGGAAGCACGATGGACCATAATAAAACACTCAAGCCAGACTACAGGAACCGGGGTGCAGATCTTTGGTGATTCCTTCAGAGCAGTATCTTTGTCCCACCCCACACGCTGTGGCTTCCCCCTCCCTGAGAGGACAGATATAATCTGCCCCAGCTCCCTCTGAGCCAGATGTGGTGCCCGGGGCTGTGCAGCCGTCCTTTCTGAGCCTGGCGTGAGCACCCACTGTGGCTGGAGAGTGGAGGGCTGGGTGGTTGGCCTGGGCGGGTGACTGGCCCCAGGCTGGGTGTGCATTTCTGTTTCCTCATTTTGACCCTCTCAGCTCGAGGCATGCTGCAGGCTTCACCACAGATTGCAGGAAGGAAGAAACCTCTCCTGGGGCATGGTGACGCTGGTGGTGGGGAGCAGTGTGGCGTGGAAGGGACAGGGCAGATGTGCACAGCACTTGCCGGCGGGTGTCGTGGCTGGGGACTAGGCTGGGGCTGGGGCGCCCTTCCTGTACCGCAGACGGGGCGGGGGTTGATGCTGGGGTGCAGAGAGCACAGCCGGGCATGGCAGGGAAGCGGAGGTGGCCTTGGAGGGTCCGGATCAGTGGTCATGACCTGGAGAATAACTGTCCTTGGTAAATCATTAATATTTCTTTTTCCAGAGACATTTCTTTCTGCTTGAAAAACTTTAAAGTGTGTTGTGACCCACAGTGGAGTTCCCAGGACTTGTCTCTCCCAGGCACTGATCCAGGGGGCACTGTTCACGCCGTGGACTTCCTGGGGCGGTGGTCGCAGTTCAGACCACAACTTCCGGCCTACCCTGCCTCTTTCCCTGATGTCACTTGCTCCCTGTATGAGCGCCCCCCAAGAAAGCTCTGTGGTCTCTGTCCTGCCTGTGCCCTGCCCTGCTCCACAGACCAACCTTCTCAGACCCAGAGAGCACGGCCACCGCTCGGTGGTGGTTCAGCGTCATGTCCCTAAGTCTCCTGGGCCCTCTTCTCTCCCGCTTCCCCGTTGCTCCCTTGCCGTGTACCCAGCCCTGCCCCCGTGCTCCTCCTGCACGTCTGTCCGGCTCTCATCTCTGGCCCACCCGTCTTGTCACTCTGGCAAGGCACATGGGCTCTGCTGTGGCACCTTCTTGCCATCCAAGCTGTGCGGAGGACAGGCCCGAGGAGGAGCGAGCAGCCCCCGACACTGGGTGGTGTGTGAACTCCTCTGCCCCGCCTGGGGTACCTCTTCCCTGCCAGACGGTCCCAGTGAGGGGCAGAGAGCGGCACTGTGAGTATTTCCAGGGACAGGCGGGAGCGCGTTCAGGTGTCTCATGTAGTGGATTTTGGACTAAGCTTTCGCTTTTTCCCTCCCTTCCTCTCAACACAGCAGAGAGCCCCTGCCACCTGCAGTGTAGACACAGGGGTTAGAAAACAGCCTGAGTTTGGTCTCAGGGAACTTAACATCTCGGTAGGGGTGGCATCGGGCAGGTCATTGGCCACATCCTTTGTTAGAAGCTCTGGTAAGTCTGTAGCTTACTTGCAGGGGTCCAGGAAAGCCCATGTCAGACGCATGCTTGTGTGTTGTGTCCACATGTGCCTGAGTGGGAGGAGAGTAGGCAGGCTGCTACTGAGAGCCGCAGGGCATGTGGCAGCTGGATGGGCAAAGCCCTCTGGGAGAGCGCAGGTTCTGGGAGCCCTGTGAGAGACTGCTAGTGGTGGTGCCATTTAATTGCATGGCATGAAATCCCTCCCCACTCAGCGTGAGAAAGCGGGGGTTAGCATAGCACATGGGTGTCTGAGGGCAGGAAGTGAACGTAAGGCTGAGGCCAGGGCCTCTCCTCTCCTCCGTCTGTCTCTGTTCCCCCTCTCCACTCCTCCCCTTCCTCTCTCCTTCTCTGCCCCTTTGTCTTGCAGCCCCTCTTGTTCCCTTTGCTCCTCATCATCAGTGGATGTTGGGAGCTGAAACAGGAATCTGGGTTTCTGTCTTTAGTCTGGGGTAGCTTTCATATGTATGTATGTTTTTATTGATTGATTGAGACAGGGTCTTGTTATGCAGTTCAGGCTGGCGTTGAACTCACTTTGTAGCCTAGGCTGACCTGGAATTTGAGATCCTCCTGCCTCAGCCGCTTCAGTGCTGGGATTACAGGTGTGCTGCACCACCATGCTTGGCTCTGGGGTAGCTTTTGAAGACACTGTGATCACATTCTAGTTCCACACACCACTTTTGTTCATGGTTTTCTGCTCTCTGAGTTGAATTACAAATTATTCAACTTGAACCAGCCTGTCTTTGAGCAAGTAAGGCAGTTCCTTATCTGCACATTACCACATGGTCATAGTGGTCACCTGAGATATGTGTGGGCTCCCAGGAAGTGGGGCTTCAGTTGCAGCTAATCTGAGGGGACTTCATGTTAGCTGGATACGGGGCTCCTGGGGCGTGTGCGGCGCTGTGCAGGTGGCCAGTGAAATGGACAGTTCCTGTCCAGTGAGGGCAGCTCCTGTGGCTGGTTTGTAGCAAGAGCTTCACCCAGCCATGAGAACCCCTGGGCTCTGCTTAATGACTTCTTGGGGCGAAACATTCAACCCGTCTTACACAAATGCACCTGCCCTTTAGTATCCATGGTGGGTTAGTTCCAGCACCTGCCTCACAGACCAAAACCTCTGGACACTCACGTCAGATGGCACAGTATTTATGTAGGAGCCACGTAATCGTCCTTTGTAACTTTAAATCATCTCTAAATTTAATACTGAATACAGCGTGAATGCTATGTAAATAACTATTATACTGTATTGCTTAGGGAATAATGACAGAAAAGTACATGTTTAATTCATATGCAGTTAAAATGGTTCCTCTGAGCTGGTTGAATTGGGCTGTGGATCTAGTGGATGTGGGGGGCTGACTGTAGTACCACACTTAACTCTCTACAGACACCTACTGTGAGGTGGGTACTGCGGGATCTTGTTTTTAGGGGGTGGAACTGGGCTCAGAGGCTGTGTTTGTCGTCTGAGGGTGCTGAGTGGTCAGTGCTATCCCTGGAACCCTGTCTCAGCTCGAGCACTTGGCTCTCACCGTGACCTCCCTGCGTAGAGGGAGTGTGTCGGGGTCTCGTGCAGGCCAGCCAGCACTTTGAGCTCACACCCAGGCCTCATGATCTCCTGGAAACAGTGAAGTCCTTCATGAAGGGCCCTCGGGCACAGCTTGTGGTCATTTAGTAACTTGAATCTGGAATCTCTATGGCTGAAGTCCAAGCTCTTAAATGTGTTACTTTGGTATGTCTACTTTGGAAACGGTTAACCACTGCGTTTCACAGCCCGCGACCCAGAATGTACAGCCAGTGTGGAAGAATTCGGGCCTTAAATTTCTCCCTCTTCTTTTCCAGGTTGCCCCCCTATCTGGTCTCCCTCTTCATCAGTCTTGTTTTCCTGGTGGTGAACTTGACCTGTGCTGTGCTGGTGAAGACAGGAAATTGGGACAGGAAGGTCATCGTCTCCGTGCGAGTGGCCATTAATGACACACTCTTCGTGCTGTGTGCCATCTCTCTGTCCATCTGTCTCTACAAAATCTCAAAGATGTCCTTAGCTAGCATTTACTTGGAATCTAAGGTAGGGTGGGAATGTGCTCAGATCCCTCCCATGAAACTTACTTTAAAAATACATGTCTGGTTTGTAGACAAGAGAGACACAAATCTTTCTGAACGCACCCGTCCTTTAGCAGATGATTGCCGCACCGTGGTCACCAGGACACGGGGGTGTGAGGTCGCAGAACCTTGGGTGTGGGAATTGTTCTCTAGGTGGCTTAAGAGTGTCAGTGTGTGTGTGGGATCATTGGCAGGGTTCAGTCTGGTTCATAGAGAGTTATTTAACCTATATTTTAAAGGACTAGTGGGATTCACTATAGCAACAACACTCATAGCAAACACGTTACCTAGTGTCGTGTCCCTGGCACGTTGACAAGCACTTTATGTGTACACACCTGATGTCATTCTAACAGATCTACTGGGTTAGGCGGTGTTATAATTCCCATTCTATGGATAGGGAAATGAGGCACAGAGAGCCCAAATCGCTCACCCTAGGCCATGCTGCTAGCAGGGACAACGCTGAGTCACACCTGGCAGGGTCTGTGGGCTTCACCACCTTCTTGTGCTGCTTTGTAGACTCAGATTCAGGCTTACACTTGAACGCAGTGCCCTCAAGCAGCCTCTCCTTTGTGGTCGGAAGTGGGGTTCAGGAGACTGTCCTGCCTGTGGGGGGTTCAGAGACTGGGCCACACATGAGTAGGAGGGAAGCTCCTGGCCCGCTCCCTTCTTCCATGCTCTGCCTTGCACCCTCAGCTCCCGTGTCCCGCCTTCCTGTCTCTAGGGCTGTGAAGGGCACATGTGCAGATATGCTGTGGTGCCAGAGTGCATCTGGTCAGCCAGATCCTCCAGATTCCCTCACTGACATTCCAAACCTGAGCCTGGAAGCCGGGGCCGGCTCGGGACCCTGCCCCGACACTTTGCCTCTGTGGACCTGGCTTCCCTCACTATAAATGGTTGAGTGATCTGCCCAGCTCCTCTGCGTCTGAGACACAGTGCCTTGTGGAGGATCTGCCATCCACCTGCCTCCCTTAGGGCTCATTTGATTTCAGTGTTTCTGGTCAGAAGTGGCAGCTTTGTCTCCCAGTGTTGTCTTTAGAAGTGGTCAGCAGATAAAATCTGTTTCTAACTTTGATTCTCACAGGGCATCTTGGGAGTTAGCCAGATTCTTGCAAAAGTGTGACAGAGTAGTTCTTTCATTTCTAAATTGTTGTATTTTAAACTTGATTTTGCTTTAACTTTCTCTGTTACTTTATCTCCCATATAGTGACTAATCAAGGCATTTTAAGACTGCTCTTCAACAGAAGGGGTTAACTTGTACACTGTTACAGTGCTATTTTGCTCACCTTTGTGGTTTATGAGCCAACAAAGAACTATTGCTGAAATGAAATGGTATTTTGGATTTAGTTAATGACTTCCAAATTCAAAACTCAGTTTTAATCTTTTTGGTCATGTTAACTGTGTTTTCTTTTTTTGTTGTTTTTTTTCCGGTACCGGGAATTGAACTCTTGACCTTGCGCTTGCCAGGCAGGTGCTGTGCCGCTGAACTAAATCCCTAGCCCCTCCGTGTTTTCAACTAGAGGTTCTTTAATTGGCTTGAGAAGTTGATAGCTTTATAGAGGGGAGCATGGGTCACGGATTTCCGTGTAATTCCACTCAGAATCATGTCAGGACTCATGTTGGTTTCTCCTCCACAGCTGTAGGTTTTGAGAAAGAGCATATTCTAGCACACTGGGCAGTACTGGCCACCTCCTGTCTCAGCCCCTGTCCCTCTGAGACTGTTTCTGTTTCCCCTAAGCTAGAGCGTGGCCTGGTGTGCCTGCTGTGCCTCTGGACTAGGAGGATGTTGGAGTTGAGTGTGGCAGTGGGAGACTTAACAACAGCACAAGCCCCTCGGACTTTCTAGGCTTGAGGCAGAGGGTCTGTAGAGACTGCACTGTCACAGCCATCAGACACCTTGAAATCTGAAATTGCACAGAGGCACCAAGGGGTTTTAGGCCTGGGGTGGAGCGCCTCTGAAACCCCCCAAGGGCTCCTGGGTGACACTGGGTGAGGAACAGGCAAGGGACCAGTGCCCTGGACCTGCCGTGGCCCACCCTGCTGGTTTTCTCTTACAGGGCTCCTCTGTGTGCCAAGTGACTGCCATTGGTGTCACGGTCATCCTGCTGTACACCTCCCGGGCCTGCTACAACCTGTTCATCTTGTCCTTCTCTCAGCTCAAGAATGTCCACTCCTTTGATTACGACTGGTACAATGTATCAGACCAGGTCAGTGCAGGGGCCACGAGGTGTGACTGGGAGGGGCACCATTTGCTGTGTGGTGTTCTGTGTGGCCATGACGTTGGCTCTTTGCTTCTGCTGCTGAACAGCTGGGGGACCTTGCGCAGCGCTTCCGGTGTGTGGTGTGCACCCTCCTCAGTCAGGGGGACCACGGCTCTGCCTTGTTCTTGCTTACGCCTCCTGAGACTTGTGGATTGGAAATGTGTGTGCGGACATATAAACCTGCACGTATGTGCACACTCAGGTCACGTCTCCTCTCCACCTCATGGGGTTCTTGTCAAGCAGTACTTAAACTTTTTTCCTTTTAAATGCTTCCTGATAAATGTAAGATGGTATTATTAAAGGGTAAATTTTGCAAAGATAAGTTGTATTCAGAAAATGTCTAAAACTATGAAATGGGAGACTTTGAATGCAGTACAGCGTTGGCGAAAACCCAGACCAGTGTGACAGAGGTAGTAAGGGTTAGTAGGGCCTCACTGCGACAGTCGTTGTAATAGGGTTCTTCCTTTCTACCCCAAATGCATCCTATAAACTCATAAATTACCAGCTGTAAAGCAAGTGAACAAAGGCAGGTTCTTCATAAAAGCTTAGAAAAAGAAAAATTTATTTGATAAATACCAATTTTTTTATGGCAGACACTACAAAGTTGTGAGGATATAAGAAATGGATAGCCTCCTTTGTCCCGCCCTGTGGGGGTTCATGCTGCACCGAGGTGGAGACAGACCCTCCAGCAGGGAAATGTACCTTTTTGCTAGTAGTCAGAGTGGTTTGCACAGGCGCCTTCAGCTTTCCCTGGAAAAACTGAATTCCCAACTATGTGTAAATCTACTCCTAAAATTTCAGTAGTGCTCAAAACTTGAGCTGAGTTACGGTAATAGGAGAGGGAATAAAATGACCACAGTGAGCTGAGGAGGACACGGTGACTTCCCAAGAGGCACAGGCCGGGGGAGGACAAAACTGCAGCAGCCCTGCCCCAGCGCCACTAGCGCAGGCCGTGGAAAGCTGGGCAAGGCCTGCCTGCGGCGTGCTGGGTAAAAGGCACACATGTATAAGAAACCCTGAACTTTAAACAGTAACCAACCAGAGACAGCTTCACCGTCCACAGAGGAGTTTTTAAATTGTTGCAGGCTGTACATGAGATTTACTGTTAATCATAATTACGGGCGTGAGTCAGAGATGTTAAACGCAGTCAGTGCTGTGCACCCTGCGTCACCATCCACCTCTAGAGCTTTTCTTTCTTTCTTTTTTTTTTTTTTTTTGGTTTTTCTCCGGTACCAGGAACCAAACTCACGACCTTGCGCTTGCCAGGCAGGCGCTTTTGCCACTGAGCTAAATCCCCAGCCCCTCACCTCTAGAGCTTTTCCATCTGCTCTATTACATGATGATGATTTGGTTTTAACAAAATAATTATTTCCATTTCTTTTAGTCAAGATATGATAGATTCCAGGGTAAAGCTTAGTGGCACAGCATCTGCCTGGCAAGCACAAGGTCCCGAGTTCGATTCCCAGTACCAAAAACCCCCCCAAAACAAAGCAAGATATGATAGCCAAGGATTTACAGTAGGATCAGTTTTTAAAATTCTTCTGTTTTCATTGGTTCTATATAACTATCTAGACTGCTGGTACAACCCGAAGAACTGAGGAGCAGGCAGGATAGATGGCCACAAGTGCACGTGGGCAGCACAGGTGACATGTGGGACGTGAAGTGTGAGGGACCACATGGAGAAGGGGAACAGGAGTCGGGCTCCTGCACTTTCCCTGTACTGTTACAGAAGGCAGCGTTAAGAGTAGGGGACTGACGTGGTGTGGCTTGGTTTTGCTGCATGCTTTTTTAATGAATGCTGGTTTTTCTGAGGTGTGCCCATACCCAGCTCCCCTCTTGTCTGCTGAAGGGAGGAAACTCGCAGCAGGCCTCTCTGCGGCTCCTGGGCTAGAAGCCAAATGCCTATGGCTCTGAGGAATTTTTCTGGACGAGTTAACCAGCAATAGGCTTAACGACTGTAGGATGCAGTTTATATGAAGAAAAGCTTACAATTGCCGTGCTTACCCTAGGGTCACATGCTGCTGTGGAGGATCGAGGAGACTCTTAGTGTGTTTAGCTGTTGATGAGAAATTCAGTTCGGATTGGAGTGAGTTCATTTGCACACAAGCAAGAGCTTGGGGAATGAATTAATAAAGTGTCAGGGTTGGGGAGTTCTTGTCTGAATACTGATTGGTTTAAATAACCAGGTTGGCCATTATTATTACAGGATTTCTTTGTGCACATTTTAGAGAAAGGAATGATACTGTTTTAAGATTCTGTTTGTGTCTGGCAGAATTGAGTGAAACAAATTTTCTCTGCCCTCAGTCCACTGCTTCTGTTCTCTCTCTTCTGCTAATAGGCAGATCTGAAGAATCAGCTGGGAGACGCCGGCTATGTAGTATTTGGAGTTGTGCTGTTTGTGTGGGAACTCTTGCCCACCACCTTGGTAGTTTACTTCTTTCGAGTGAGAAGTCCCACAAAGGACCTCGTAAGTATACCATTTTATATTTGCATAAAACGTCTTCTAATTCTCATGAAACCTGCAATTAGAATGTTTTTCTAGCTTTTCTATATGGGAGAGAGCCTCTTTTAGGCCACTATGATACAGGAAATCCCTGGATTGTTTTATTCAGACTTTTTTCCCCTTAATTCTCTTTACAGGGAAATGTTTTTTGGTTTAGCTTTATTTTACTGAAGAATTGAAAGTTAGGTACATTTCCTGGCCTGAGGAAAATAATTAACCACTTTGGTTAATGTGATACAGCCTCACTAGTATTTGATTACTGCACTAAGTAGATAAGGTTTTCTTCTAGCAAAGGACAGAGAAGAGTGATAATTTAGAGTGTGCTGGGTGGTGAATGGGATGATGAAAATGTATAAATAGTAACAGGAAGGGTGCTGTAAAGTCACTCCCCCAGTTTGGTCATGTTTCTGCTCAACCAGCTTTATCTAAATCATTTATGGGGGCTAGATAGAAAATGCAATAGTAGTAAGAGTGCAAAAACTCCTGGGAGCCTTGCTCCACAGAGAATTCCTGCCACACGAACTGGTGGAAAAATTTTGACTGATGTGCGAGCTCACAAAGGAGTTAGTGAAGGTGGGCATAAAAGTGAGGAAAGCATAAAAGGAAGTGGCCAGACAAGTTGCAGGTCTTAGTTCATGCCCAGCTGACATAGGCATTCTGTTTTATCTTGTTTTTTTATTTGCCTCTGGATCATCAGTACGGAGGCAGGAAAAGAAAGTGGTGAGACTGGGCAGATGGGGCAGTGGGACATAGCCAGTGTGTGGGCTCTAAGCGGAGGATGAGCAATGGCTCAGGATGAAATCCAGCCGTGTGCCTTGGAATTTTTTGAGAGATGGGTTCAGTTTGTTGGGAGCAGACACAGGGTGAAGCAGTTAGAGAGGGTACGAAAATGGGATAGGCAATCCTCTCCAAGTGATTTCACTTTTAAAAAATTTTACTATGAATGCTCATGTTATGTATATCCAAATTACATTATTTATTCCACTTTGGCTAATCTGGGCATCTTTCAGTGAATTAAAACTGATGATTTGTTATTGTAAACAAGACTGGATGAAAGGTTTATCCCTGTTAAACAAAAGCAACTGCAGTGAATACTGCAGGTGAAAGGAGCAAACTCTGTCCAGGGGGGAAAGAACTTCAGTCTCCTGTGGCAAGGTCCAGTGCCGGGAAATATGCCCAGTGTCACCTGTCTTTCTAGACCAATCCTGGAATAGTCCCCAGCCACGGATTCAGTCCCAGATCTTATTTCTTTGACAACCCTCGAAGATATGACAGCGATGATGACCTTGCCTGGAACATTGCCCCTCAGGGACTTCAGGGAAGGTAAGGCTGTTCACCTAAAGGGGCCTTGTGGAGGAGAGGGTTACGCCGTGGCAGTGGTGCCTCTGAAGGCCAGGGAGCACTAGGAGTGAGAAAGGACTGACAAAGTTTTAAAAGCCCCACAGCATCTTTATATACAGTAGTGTTTCCTAAACAATTCATGGACACAGTTTATTAGCTATGTCATACACATGATGGGAAATGGAGGTTTATTTGTTTGTTGTTTTTTTTTTGGTTTTTCTCTGGCACCGGGAACCGAACTCACGACCTTGCGCTTGCCAGGCAGGCGCTTTTGCCGCTGAGCTAAATCCCCAGCCCCTGGAAATGGAGGTTTAAAAAGATCAGCTTACATCACAGAACTCCTTAGTCTATAGTACGCTCATATACAGTCTGAACGTTTGACTGTGGCATCACTCAGTGGAATATGATTTGGGGAATCAGGCAGACTTCTCTAGTCAGATATTCTGATCAATTAAATGGTACTTATTTATTAGAATCGTCTAAGGACCAAATTTTAAATTGGATGTCAGCACTTAACTGCAGTGCAGTGAGGTCACTACTGTCATGAGCCTCATATTTCAGATGAAACCAAGGTCTCTAAAAGTGGGGTGATTTTGTCCAGCTCACACCACTGCTGAGGAGCTGGGTTTGCAGCTGAGGCAGTCTCATTGGATGCGAACTCTGGGTCATGAGACTGTGCCGACAGTTGGTATATAGCCTAGCACCCGTCTCCTGTCTCACCTATGCGTGTGCTGTGTACTTTCATGTGAACTGTAACAGGAAGAGTCTCTGTTCCTGAAAATCCACCTGCAGATTTGGCCCAGAATATTTTGGAGAGGGCAGTTAAACATAACAGAGTCCCAGGCAGCATATACAGTTGCAAGAGAGTAAATGAGCTGTCACCACCTAACTTCCAGGGCTGGGTAGGGAGCCTCTGAGTCCCTGAGCACCTTGAGTGCCTGGCCCAGGCCACTGTGCAGCCAGGATGGTGATGGGGCGGCCCTGGACACCCTTCCCATCCTTAACTTAACCTGTAGGTGCGCCGCTGTCTGCCCGCCCATCGTTGTGTCTGTCTTTCACTCCGTGGATCTGGGCCAGCAGCTGCAAGAGGAGCCAAAAGGGCTGCCTCAGTGCTAGCCTCAGTCCCAAGGCCCCTCTTGCGCCTCCCAGTCTGAGAGAAGGGAAGGCTTAGCTATGCAGTCCTTTGAGAGTGTAAAGATTTGCATTAGCATTTCAATGTGAATGTCTTTTCCTCTAGGATGAAATGGTAGAAGGTGATGTGTACTAGGTTTTTTCTTTTTTATTAATAACAGTGACAAAAGGGTTCCCTTTCAAAACTTTTGTTAAGAGTTCTGAAGAGGGTCCTTGTTTTGGGGAAGGAGAACTGAGAAAAGCAGACCAATGCCCAAGCCAGCAGAAAGAAAGAACTACCTGGAAGACAGCTAATAAACAAGGACTTCTCACGGTCAAAGACTGCGCCTCAGTGAGAGGCTCTTACCCTGAGTACCACCTCTTCCCTAAAACACTACTCATCTTGTTAGTTCTGCTGGTCCTTTTAAACACATTTGCTGCTGGAGCAGCCTGAACACCCCCACCTGCCAGGAGTGACCCGGAGCTGAGAACCTCCTTGGGCCCACTTTCTGCTGTCGTTTAAAGGAAAATGATGATGATGAGAACAGTGTGTTGAGTACTGTGTATTAGATACTGTTCTAAGGACCTGATGTGTGGTAACTCCCATTAATAGTGGGCTGTACTCCACATTAGGATCGAAACAGTTTGTTAGTAGAAAATGTGTCACACATTATGACTGATTTCAGATTCTAGGGTGGCCAGACTTCTGGACTGTAATGAATGGAGAAGGTGGTTGTGGGCAGGCAGCCAGCACTGTACAGCACTGTTTTGGGTGAAAATGGGCTTCAGGAAGCTAATTTAGGGACTGGCAGTGTAGGTCAGTGGTAGAGCATCTGCCTAACTTACACAAAGCCCTGGGTTCGATCCCCAGCACCACAGACACACATAAAACAAAAAACAATTTAAAGAATTTGGGGCTGGGGCTGGGGATTTAGCTCAGCGGCAAAAAGTGCCTGCCTGGCAAGCACAAGGTCGTGAGTTCGGTTCCCGGTACCGGAGAAAAACCAAAAAAAAAAAAAAAAAAAAAAAAAAAAAAGAATTTGGGGCTTGTCTAGAGTTCATACCAGTTCCCAGCTCTGTCTCCCTAAACTGTCTCCCCTTCCTACAGAGTATGACCTTTTAAGCTACCACAAATTTTCTTTTTTAAGCTTTGCTCCAGACTACTATGATTGGGGACAACAAACGAACAGCTTCCTAACACAAGCAGGAACTTTGCCGCAAGACTCAACTTTGGATCCTGACAAACCGAGCCACGGGTAGCATCCGTTGGCTTTGTGGAAGATGCCTATTGGAAAGCTCCACAAAGACAAACTGAAAGACGGTGGAGTTTTTAGGGCGCTTTTCCTTAAGATAAGGGACTTGGCTTTTGTTACAGGTTCCCAGGACTAAGCAATACTTCAAATTCATAGATCCTATTTTAGTACTAATACGTGAGCCTGCCTTTTTCACTGGGTATAATTTAAACTTTTAAAAAATCTGTACTTTTATAAAGATGTATTTTATATAACTTAAATAATAATGCTAAAGTATACTAGGGTTTTCTCTCAAGAATGTTATTGCAATATATATTGTAGTTTGCACAAGACTGTTAATGCATAATTCACTTTAAAACAATATAATATATGGTCTAATAGTTTTTTTTTAAAGCTTTTGGACTAAAGTAGTCCTCAAATCCTTACCTCTAAAGGTCACTCAGACGCGTTCCATACTGGTAGATTCATGAAGTTCAGTTGACATCCACAAAACTAATTCCAGTGTTGCAAGTCAAAACGAAATAGCTTTTCATCAGTCTATAAAGTATATTTAATATATTAGTATATTAAGGTTTAATGTTTCAGAGATTTTGCCAAAAGTCTGGTACTGCCTTTCATCAGGGCACCAGTGTATACACTTCAGTGCTAACGGGTGGACCTTGTTAACAGTGTAGCTGACTTACACTATTAAACCTCCTCTGCTATAATCAAAGTGACTGTGCATAGTTTTTTCAGTCAGATAACATGTCTGTTACCTCAGGACTATAGCAAGACTACCTTTCCCAGCTCGGTGAGTGGTAACTACAGTCAAGTAGAAGCCAAGAGCATCCCAAGACAGCATTATAGCCTGCGTGCCAGAGTCAAAAGACTGGGACCCTGACAGCTTTTTGGTAATCTCCAACCATTAAATTGTGGTCTTTATTTTTAAATAAAGGTCATGATCACACTAAGTCATGTCTTCAGAAAGTCCTGCATCCTTTAGTACAGTGGTTCCTTGGTTCACAAGTGTTTTTGTTTGGAAAAATTTTGTTTTTGTTAGTGAACTCTGCATCAGGAAACAAACATGACTGCAGCCATCTTTCCAGAGTCAGGGAATGAATGAAGTTAGTGAACCTGAGGTACCTCTGTATTGGGTTAGCTGAGGGCAGATGTACTTTTAAGTGTACAGTGTCACTAAATTATAGAATAGTGTCTATCTTCTAGTATATGAACACTGTTTATCAGATTGAAATATCCAGCATTAACAGACAGAAGCCCTAATCTATTTTTGATAAAGCTGCTAGTATTTATGCAAACTGTTATTTTTTGTTGAATAATAAAAACAGATAAAGTGCGTATTCTGCTGTCCTTTTAAAAAGTAATGCCGAAATTTTCTGTCAGCCATACTAGAAGACTGTAAGAACCATGACTGGGAGGAGAGTGTCCCGTCCACCACGCATGCCTGTTGAGTTGCTGCGGGGGACAGTGGGGAAGGGAGGGGAGGGCTCCTTGAGCTTCCTCATTCATCTGCTATCAGAGGCAACCAGTGCTTTTCCTCATTGCAGTACCCCTCTGAGAGGGAAAGGAAGGTGATTTCTGGTTCTGAAAGACCCAAACATTTATTTTATTTTAAAACAACATGAAGTTAAAACTGACACTTTGAAAGTTGCAAGTGCATAGGGAAGAGCTGGTATTACAGAAAGTTTTGTACAATTACCCATGTCTGTCTGAATACCAGGGCTAAAAGTGTTTGTGTGTGACTACTGAAAGGGACATCATCTCTGTCTAAAATTCTAACTGATCTGTGCAGAGGGCCTTCACTGGCTCTTTTTCCTTTTTGGAAATAAAATTTGGAGTGTCTTACAGTTGACAACACACTAGCACCTCCACAAACCGCTCAGTCCCTACAACTAGGAGAGTGATGATCAACCTTTTAGAGACGTGTGCCCAAACTGCAACCTAAAACCCACTTAGTTACTGCACAGTGTCAGCGTGCAACTAAACCTGAGGTTTTAATTGAGAAAAAAACAAGTCATACATGAATACATTTTGTCTTAAAAATATACGTGCCATAGGTCTGCTACCACTGACTTAGGACACCTGCTCTCAGTGAGCCTTGGTGCTGAGCTGATACATAACCTCTGTTGAGAGCGACAGAGTAAATGTTCATCACCCTGGGACTGGAAGACACACTGTGAAAACAGATTCTCATTTGTATCTGCGCACTGGGTATTACTAGGAGATTGCTTTCCTCTTCTTTTTTGGTGCTGGGACAAACCCACAGCTCATATATGCTAGGCAAGTGCTCTATCACTGCGCTAAACCCCCAGCCTGTGTTCTTTATAGGTGAATTTATGTTAAAACTAAGGCATTCACCTATTTCTCTAAGCCTGCATTTTCTGTCTCTACTCCCTGAGCTGTGGCTGGGCCCTGCTCTGCTTTCCCTGGTATTGGCTTAATGTCATTTCTTTAGTTCTAGACCTCCTTGTCCTTTTGGACCTTGCTTCCTTACCACTATGTTAGATTGTGATGTCCACAATCAGCTTTCTTGAGCCCCTTTAGAACTGGAGTCCACAGGTCTGCTCTCCTCATCTAGATCTGTGAGCTGTACCTCTTCAGTCTGAAGTGTCCTCAGAAGTCCTCCATTCTGTAATAATTTCTGTTGCCGTGACCTTCACTCATGAATCTCACTGAGCCCCCAGGAGTCCCTCCAAGTTGTGGTGCTCCCTGAATGCATTCGCTAAAATACAGACGGTGCACTTGGACGAGCAAATACTGCTTTCCCAGGGCCCTTCCACCCGGGTGAGTGGGACTCCTTGTGTTTCCCCTGGGTGAGCTCAGCCTGGAGCCTAGGCTGAAAGGCTGCAGAGCACTTACCCACCCGAAGGTACTTTCTGTGAAGGCAGGCCACAACATGATACAAGAGGTGACATGATACAGGAGGTAAGCCCCACCCAACAGGTGCTGGGGGAATGACTTCACCTATGACAGTGTAATGGCACTGAGAGGAAGGCACCACAGTTCATTCCTGTGGAGGGGACTCTCCACTAGACAGGTTTCTAGGTTAGCACATGTCCTCTTCTGCTGACATTTTTATTGGGATGGTTTCTCACTATAAGTGGTACATAATCTAGTTAGGCTATATAGAATGCTAGTTATGCTTTCATCTACTGTGCAATGATTTTACTGGTTTACTACCCATTTAAAGTCTCCTCCCTCTTACAAATCTGACAGATAACCAACTTTTGGACATAATAGGAAGAAAAGTAACCAACGTGTTGTATGTACATACTCCTCAAATCATTCTTGGAGACTGTCTTAAAATAGAAGCACCAAGATTAATTCCGTCCACACAGGTGCTACAATATATGCCTCTATTTGCCTGTACCTGTTTGGCAGATAGGATACTGAAATCCACACAGTGAAAATAGATCTTTATCAGGTAGAATCAAATTAAAAGAATAACTATATGTGTGTGGGTATAAGTGCTCCATAGGTTAAAGAATTATTTTAAACTCATGGAAAAGTACAAAAAAATGTTCAACCTCACTGGTCATTTGAGTTACAAGTTAAAACACAGATTCCATCTCACCCCACAAAGAATGGCTGTTATCAAGAAATGAATAACAAATGCTGGAGGGGCTTTGGGGAAAAAGGAACCCTTCTCTACTGTTGGTGGGAGTGTACACTGGTGCAACCACTGTGGAAATCAGTGTGGTTATTCCTCAAAAAACTAGGATTGGAGGTCCCATTTAACCCAGCTATTCCCCCTCTGGTATCTTCCCAGAATTAAAAACAACATACCACAGTGATATATGTGCACCCATGTTTACAGCACCAGTTTGTAATAGCTACATCTTGAAAATAGCCCAAATGCCCTTAAACTGAGAATTGGATACCAAAAAATGGGGGTATTTTTATGTAGTGGAGTACTACTACATCATAAAGGATAAACTGGAGACTTTTATAGATAAATGGATGCAACTAGAAACCACAATCGTAAGTGAAATAAACCAGACACATGTGGAAATACATATGCAAACATCCTATTGTCTCCCTAGTGTGAGAAACTGAGTAGGATCCAAGATGTATAACAGATACTGTAAAATGGGAAGAAACTTCAAAAGGAAAGAGAAACTGGGCTAGGGGAATGGAGAAGGGAAAAGCGTCAAAAAACCCTATGTATGTATATAAAAGATAGTTTAGACAGTTACACTACTAATTTCTCTTAGTTCATTGAAAAGAAAGGTTTGTGCTAATATTGTTTGGTCAATTAAATGCCTGTGATAGTTTGTGTCTAGATGTCCCCCCAAAGCCTCATGCAGTCATGAGGGTAGTCTTTTAGAATCTGTGATTAGATTCATGGTCCACTGCTGGGATTATGGGTGGGAGTGCCATACCTGCTCTGGGGCGGGTAGCCTGCATACAATATGAGGGAGGGAAAGAGGCTTGCCCACTGCTGTTCCTCCCATTTTGTTCTTGCTGCTTTTGCTATTTTCCACCGCCATGAATGGTTACCCTCTGCCATGTGCCACTATGCCTTGGAGCCAGCTGAGTATGGACAGAAACCTCCACAAACTGTGTGCTAAATAAACCTTTCCTTCCTTAATTTTGGGTGGCAGGTATTTTGTCCCACCAAAGAGAAAAAGTAACCAAGACAATGCTGATATCTTGTAAAAAAAAAAAAAAAAATTGGCGAACTTTATTCATAAGAATATAAACTTAAAACACATCATTTCCCCCCCATTTATCAGAATGGCCCAAGTCCAACATTACAGTAACATCTCTGGCAATGAGGTTGTGGGTAAGCAAGTATAGCCGTAAATTTCACATGGCATGTGACCTGGTACTGTACTCCCAAGGAACATAGTATATGAGTTAGTGTCCTTCAGAGTTACAAAAGCACATGGCCTTTCACCTCCAAATTCTATTTGTGGGTATTTCTTCTGCAGGTACATATACAAATATGAAAGGACATCTTCATGGTCTGGAAAGAACCCAAATAACCATTAACAGGACCAGTTAAATGATGGTACATCCATGTAATGTATTGTAATACCAGGTAGTCCCTGAAAAAGTAACAAAGCTATCTAATGGCTTGTGGAAAAAAGCAAAATCGTATGTATACGATGTCACTTTGGATAAAAATGAAAGAAAAAGTAAAACATTTGTATATGTCTTAAAAAGTATGGATATAAGAAGATAAACAATGGGCAGATAGGACGGAGACCTGAGTTAAATGAGAGCAGCTCTGGGAAAATGGGAACACAAGGGAAAGAGGCTTATTCAAGCGTTGCCTGGGAAGCTAGAGGGCAGGGGAAGTCTGCCCTGAAGTTAGAGGCTTAGCTAAAAAATGCCAACTGCATTGTTTTGTTTTCTCACACACACCAAAATAGCCTAAAAAAAAATACATAAAAACCCCTGAAATTGGGTGCTGACTTGGCATGCTCCCTTGGACCCCTTCTTGGCTAATGAGTGCTTCTCTTTTTCCTAATGAATTACTCTCCTCACTTCTCTACTTACTGCATCTTCCGTTGTCCTCAGACATGAGCTCAGAGAGCAAATTGGTAACAGATGGAAACATAAGAAAGCAAGAACAGAGGTTATGTGTAGTGAGGGGGTGTGAAGTGCAGGAAGTTGGGCCATTTACTCTACAACTTCTGGTTTGTTTTTTTGGGGGGTGGTTTTCTGGTACTGGGAATCGAACTCACGACCTCGTGCTTGCCAGGCAGGTGCTGTGCCGCTGAGCTGAATCCCCAGCCCCCAACTTTTGATTTTTTAACCCCACGTGAATGTACTGTTTTAAAAAATCAAACAAAATAAACATATTTTAAATTGCTACAAATCAAAAGATGCTTAAAGTTTCCGCTTTCAGTTGAATGGTAATAAACCAACTTATGAAATGATATAGACCATGTTTATGAGTAGAGGCTGCAGTTAAGATATTCTGGTTTCAAATTCTGGCTAACATGACATAGCATTTGTGACAATCAGTTCTCTTATATCTAAAACAGAAGTTTACTTACCTATTCCTGGTTTGGTGAGAAGGAAATGCTGTATGTAAAGCCCTTAATTCATGGCTTGCCAAAGCTTGCCTTGTGATTAGAAGAGCCACCACCTCAGGCTACCTGGAAAAATACTCTGCCCTGTTCTGCATATTATAAACAGATCTTCATCTCATCAAAAAAACGCTTAAAATGGGAGAAACGAGACAAAAAGATTGCAGGAAGATGTACTTTAATTCACATTTTCTGGAGTCTGATGGTACAGCAACGAATTACTCGGAATTCTGCTCACAAAATCAAAGCTTGCATCTGCAGGTGTTACTGAAAACAGAACATGGATGTGTGTGCTGGGCTCTGCTGCCCCTAACCTGTCCTTTGGTGAACAGCTATGGTCTCCTCAGGTACTTCAGTGTCCAAACTGCTGGGAGGGGGAGTGTGAACTGTGCTCAAGGTTCCAGCTGAAGGCAATGCTGATGAAGACCCAAACAGCTGTCTTGTCTTATATATAATGGCACCTAGGCAAAGTTAAAAAGTGGCACAGTGTTTCATACCCATAGTGAGACTACAAAACTGACTAATTCAGATATTCAATGTCAAAACATTTGATAAATATAAAGTAAAATCTATCACTATTCTGATTTTCCTCATAACCCAAGAATCAAAACAAGAGGGATATTGAAAATTTACCAGTATACAGTTTGTCTAAGTTACAGATTCCACTTGCCAAAAAATTGCATGCCACTAAAGGAAAGAATGTTTCCTTTTCTTCATGTTCATGACTTCTTCAGCTGTTACAATCATTTCTGTCAGTTATATGATCAAGAGCTGGATTTTAAAGTAGGTAAGAAATAAACAAAATGCCAAGAGGTGCTCACTAGCCGGGCATGTGCAGAATGCAGACTGCTCCACTTTCACCTTGCAGCAAGGGGAACATGAACTGGAAGACAGTCCATGGCACAAAGATCTAAAACACGACAAGGATCACAAAACACAGGCTCCTAACGTTTACACAACGTTAGAAATATACACACACAAAATGTAGGCAGCCCCTCCCAATCTGATTTATGGTAAAAAAAAGATAAATCTCAGCTTAAGAATACTTTGTTTCCTAGTGAAAAAATTCATGAAAACTTTGAAGAGAACTTCTTACTCTAACTAGATCTTCTAATTTCCTAGGACACACTGTATTATAGTATTTTTCATAAGCTTGAAGCAAATTACAATAAAGAAAAATGCAATAAATGGAAATGACTAAGGATTTTCTTTAGTAGTAGAGTTTAAGTAATAACTTTTAACTATAGGAATGGTGAAGTAACACTATCAGGAAGATTTTAAATTTACAGTAAAAATACACAAAGTACAAAATTTTTCACATTTTCTTGAACACCAAATGAACACTAAAAATAATTCTTCATGTACTAGCAAGGTTAGTAATTGCTAGTACATAATTGCTTCATGTACTAGCAAGGTTAGTAATTCCTTCCCTTACCATGTAGTATTTGCAACCCTAAAACAGCAAAGAAAAAGTAGAAGCGCTAATCAAGCTGGCCTTCACCATTCAATCTAACGAACCACTGCCACAACCAAAGCCAAGTTTGTAAAAGTTAGCAGTAATTAGGTGAGAAAATGATGAGACCTCTCCCCAGTCATAGCCTTCATAGAACAGCTAAATATTTTTCAAAGGGATAAACCAACTAAATACAATTTCAAATATGTCATAAAACTGTCAACACATTTCAGACTTTGGCAGAGTAAGATGTGGGTTTAAGAGCACTTATCAGAAAAGGTAAGAGTAAGGAGAAACTAGGCTACTAACATTACTTCACAGATGCAACCTTTCAAATCAGTCCTATTATATCTACCAACACCTTGAAAAGATTCAAGATTTTAAATATTGTTTGGAGACTTTAAATCTCAGGCTTACAAAGCGGTTGTCTAGGACCTATGAGTCATCCATTGGTCCAAGTCACACAAAGCACCGTCCATCTGAGAGTGAACTAGGATGCAAAGAGGAGGGAGAGGACAGGAAGCTCAGAAGATGGCGCACCTGATCCCCTTGCTGATGCATCGCACTAGAGAAAATCACATGGGGAGTTAGAGGATTGCATAGGTTCTATTCAAAATTAACTCCTTTAAAAATGCTTACTTTAAAATAGCAAATTTTATGTACTTAGTTTTAGTTGGCATTATAAATTCATAGAGTCCCATTCAGATTTTGTCAGGAAGTAATTATATGAATGTGCAGGGTTTTTCTTCTTAAAGTAACTGGACATGTCTAAAATTGGGACAGAGAGAGGCAAAGTTCGAAGAAGGTGATCTGCAGGTTCTAATTAGAGAACGCTCTTGCACGTCTACTCGCACACAGCACATCTGCCTGGCCGAGCACAGGAAGAGCACTCATCTATCCACCGTCACCACTGCAGGGCCTTCAGTGGCCCAAAACTAAGCAGCAGCCACAACTAAACAACTCAAAATAAAACGTATAAAGTGAAGTCAAAATCCTAGGGAATCTTAAGGAACCTCTGAAACCACCCCGCAAAAGGGCCATTCACTGCTCCATGCTGTAGATGACAGCTGTAGTGCTGCGCAAGGCTAAAAATACCTTAAATCATCGATAAACTTCACCACTGATACCAGCCCTGAGCAACAATGGTTCCCTAGTTCTCCTTTTCCACAACAGATGGTAACAGTGTTATTAGAACAGATAGTCATTTAAAGTTCAACATCCAAATAAAAGAATAACACAGTAACAAAACCAATTTGAAACAAATAGAATATTCAACAGATAGAAACACAAACAGAATTAGTATAACTTACATATTTTAAAAGTACATACTCCATTTATAAATAGCTCTAATAATCTACTACGGATCATAAATATTCAAGTGAGCATTTGAGTTCTCTCTTTTAAGAGTTCAGAATTCTTGAAGTCTTAGAAGATTAGTCTTTTTGCTGAATGTCCAAGATTAAAAGGCTTCACATAGTCCCTTTATGTCTCCAGGCATATAAAAGCCTTCATTACCTACTGTGTTGTAGTAAGACTTTAAAGTTCTGTAACTCTCTTATGCTTGTAGAAAGCCTGTAAGAGGGGGGAAAAAGCATTCTTAGTACAGATAGCTAATACGATGTGTACATATTTCAAATTACTGATACTGTTATATGGGCTATAATTTAAAAGTGAAATCTAAAATATATAAGCAACACTAAACACTGAAGATTCCTTTTTTTTTTCTTAACCAGGAGTTGAACTTGGGACCTTACGCTTGCCAGGCTGGCCCTTAATGCCGCGGAGCTATATCCCCGGCCTGAAGATTCTATTTTTAAATGAGTATGCTCTAATTTTGTTTTACTGAAGATGGATAAAACATAGAGGTATGATTATTTGCTCTTGGTTTACAAGAGGCAAGGAAGCTACTTACTACTTCTTGTCAACACAAAGTAGATTAAGATGGAAACCAAGGTAGGAATAATTCATCATGACAAATAATATTGGACCTTATAAATTCATTTAGCACGTCCTCTCTAAATGGCTACTTCTTTCTTGTTGCTTTCCAAACAAACTGATTCACACTGTTGGATCCTCAAGAGTAAAGACTATATTTCATCTCCTGCCCCTATCTGTGCGTGGTGATTTTTAATTGGCTACTGACTGGCTACATAAATGAACAAAGAGCTCTTCAGCCCTAGCCCAGATATAAAACTGAAATAGGAAGCACAAAAAAACTACAAGCTCAGTTTTCCTTATGTACAATTCAGGGCTGACACAAGAAAAATACAGCATTTCTCTTTCCTAGAACTTAGGGGGATGGATGTAGTATGCAGCTCTAAGTTTCTTTTATCAGCACTTGAAATGTTACCATTTATTGAGAGCTTAGGATATGCCATGCAACTTTCTGCTCTACTGTGTATATGACCTCAAAAAACACTGAAAAGCAGCAAAGGAGATACAATTAACCCTAGTTTTACATTTCAGGAAACCAGAGCTCAAATCAATGAAATATTTCCCCAGGCTCACCCAGCTAGTAGGTGGGTTCTAACACTAAGAAGGTTTTATTTTCCTCATTTTACCTAAAAAGAAAGCATGGCTGGAACAGCAGGGGTTTGGTGGAGCCCACACTGCTAATAAATGACAGGCCAGGATTCTAAGACTTCTAGAGAACCATAAAGGTAATAGGTTCTAGATACAGAACTAAAACTACAAGGATGCATTTATGAGACCCAGAGAAATTTAGGTAAAATTATTTTTTTCTTCTTAATTTTACTTGGACTTAAGCATTTACATCATTTAAAGACCTTTTCATTTGTTTTATTTATTTTTTTGTTTTCTAAGACAGGGTCTCACTATGTAGTTCAGGCTGGCCGTTAACACACTATATAGGCAGGCTGTCTCAAACTTGGGTTAATCCATCTCAGCCTCCTAAATGCTGGTATGATTATGGGCATGCACCACCATGTCTGGCTTCACTGCAATTTCATTTTAAATAAATTTCATCATTTCTCCTATGTTAACTTCCTATAGGCCTCAGAAGTGGGTAGACTGAATTTTTCATGAAATGCAGATTAACAATGGACATTCTGTTTTGTGTTTTACATCTCAACCTATATGGTTATCATTAAATACAAGGAAGCAGGAGATATGATTTTTGCTACTAAGGTGGGAAATTATAATATCTATTTTAAATTACGTCTTTTGAACATATGCATACTAAGAAAACAAAAGCAAAAATTCCTGTACAACTTGGTCCCTTATTAAAAAAAAAAAACTTTGCCTTGATTTGACTTTTTTTGCCCTGTTTTTCCAAGATAGCATAGTATTATTTTTTATGATTCTTATTCTTGTGTTCTACGTATTCCTCAGTTGGCACTGCATGTGTCTCTGTGGCAAATTCAAATTATTTTTGAAATCACTTGTGGTATAAACAAGCAAACTATGTCTGTAAACAAAAAATGGGGTAGAAATGTGTGAGACTCAGCAGCTTAAGGAAATAAAGAGCAGACAAGAGTTGAATCTCCTCTCTGCTCTCCTTGACTCCTATAATTGTACTGGAACAAGTAAGAGCCACCAAAAGGGAAGATTATTAGGAGACTATTTTCCTCAAAGTTGAGGAGGGAGCTGAAAATAATGGCAACTGTTCAGAACCAATTTTTCCTAAGACCTATAGAAAAACTGACCTGTCAGCTTTGAGGCTTTTCTAGGCAAAGTGAGTACAGGTATAATATAATTGTATCATTTTGTCAACAAACCAAACCAGGGCACATTTTACTTTAGCAGAGACTGTGATTTCAGCACTATGGAAACCTGCAGGGGAATTAAGTCCTTGCTTCTTTACTGCAGAAGTGGTTCTTACCTTCCAAAAGCATTTAAAAGGGCAACTATTTCCTGCCGCGTGAGTTGGAAGCCTTTAGAAGGACTGTTCTCTGGAAGCTTTTGGATTTCTTTTTCAGAGAATAGTATCTTCAAGGCAGTTCCTAAACCTTGAGTCTTAAAAAGACAGAAACAAAATCCTCTTACAAATAACTTCATATAACAACACCTGCCATAAAGATTTAAAGGAATACCTTGATGACCATTAGGAAATTCCTATGAACTCAACTTTCCATCAAAAAAAATTTTATTTTTGGAGACAAATTTTCACTATGCAGTTCAGGTTGGCTTCGAATTCTATGTAGCCCAGGCTAGCCTCAAATTCATGGCAATCCTCCTGCCTCAGCCTCCCGAGCGCTGGGATTACAGTTGTGTACCATCATGCCTGGCCAAAATGTTAAACTATGCACAATATAATTTATGCTCCCTCTCAGGTTTACATGTAATAATTAGCTAAGCTGTTAAGGAAACCTGAATCAGTCTAATACTTGTTGGACATGCCCTATTCCAAATTACTAAGATGTTTGTTTTAAACTTTGAAAATATTACATAAGGGCTACAATGTTGGATTTGTCAACTTGAACATTTTTTCTTTTCAGTTTTTTTTTTTTTTTTTTTTTTTTTTTTGGTGCTTGGAATTGAACTCAGGGCTTCACGCATGCTAGTCAAATTCTCTACCTCTGAGACAAATCCCTAACCCTATTGAAAGCATTTTTATAGGCCCTAATAATTCAAAATTCAGATTGTCAGTGATAGCTATACTTAGATTTCTCAATTATTAACATTAGAGGAAAAGCAAACTTGAATTTCAGTGTAGCCTCTACTGAAATAATTTTTTTTGAGACACAGTTCTGCTGTATACTTCTGGCTGACCTCAAACTAATTATACAGCCCAGGTTGGCCTTGTGATCGTCCTGCTTCAGCCTCCCAAGTGCTGAGATTAGAATCATATGCCACCACACCTGACTTAATTCTCTCTTTTGCTTTTCTCTAAGTTATTATCATCTTTGCACTGAAATAAGAGTAAAAAATATCAAACAATCCTTTTAGACTGAGAATTAAGGCTAATGATCTTTCTTTGTAGACTTTTTGCATCTTGTGGCTCAGCGGCTGCTTTTGACTACCGAGACAAATTCAGTGACCCATTTTGATATTTAAGTTTGTATAATTTTACCTTTTGAATACATAAAATGCTTTATTCATGCATCAGTTTTAGAAATGAATCTGACATTGTACCACACACACGAGTACAAGAAAAATTTTAACAGAGTAATAGGGAAACATCCCTGCACGTGTGCCCACAACGAAGTTTAACTGTATTTTTCATCAATAAAACAGGAAAATCACACTTTGTATCTGCCTGCTGGCAAACTGATTCAGTGAACTAGGATATTTAAATAAAAAATTGCAATGACTCCGTGGAAAAATGTAAGGTTAAGAATAGTTTGAGAAGAAAGAACAACATATATACCTGTAATTTTCCCCATAATCTGCATTTGTCACATCCAACACAGTCCATAATATGGGAGATATTCTTGAAATGTAACCGGAATTCCTCCTAGTAAGGAGAAAATATTTTCAGACTAATTAGGCTTTTTTTTTTTTTTTTTTTTTTTTTTTTAGAGAGGGTCTCTAAACTCATCGGGTCTCTGAACTCATAGTCATCTCCTACCTTAGCCTCCCAAGTGCTGGGACTACAGGCATGCACCACCATGCCTGGCTTAGCTTAATTAGGCTTTCAAAAGTAAACTCTGCCCTTCTGGGTATCTTCTCAGAAGAATTAAAAACATTGTACCACAGTGACATATGTGTATCCATATTTACAGCAGCACAATTTGTAATGGCTAAGTCTTAGAAACAACCCAAATGTCCATCAACTGAGGAATGGATAAAAAAGATGTGGTATTTTTATACAATGGAGTACTACTGAGCCATAAAGAAGGATAAACTTGAGATTTTTATAGGTAAGTGGATGCAACTTGAGACCATACTTGTACGTGAATAAACCAGAGTCACATGTGTAAATATTGTATTGTCTCCTTGGTATGAGAAGCTGAAAGAGTAAATAAGGTCTAAAATATACAACATATATTGTGAAATGGGAAGCAGTTGTTCAAAAGGAAAAAGGAACTAGGATGGGTAAAAGGAAATGACAGTAGGGAAAAGGGAAAAAAAGGCAAGTCAGTTATACTATTAGTGTCTCTTAGTTCATTAGAAAGGAAGGTTTGTGTTAATACTGATTGGAGAAATTTTTATGCCCATATCTTATACCCTGAGCAACTACTTTAAAGATAATATGTAATGTATTATCTATTGCTATTCTATTTTGTTATGAAATTTTCCATAAAATAAATTTCCATAAAATAAAAAAAACAGAAGTAAACTCTTTGACTAATCTATAAAAATTAAATTTATTAATGAATGAACTGCTTTTCAAAAGTACAGGAAAATAATTTGAATTTGTATAGCACAACATGGCATACTAACACCTGACAATGGAAATTCATACAAATTCACTCTGCATATTAACTCAGACTTTTTAATGGGGGCTACTTGATATAGAGCACCAAAATATACATTATGATGGGTCCAAAAGTGAACAATATGTAGTCTTTTAAGGAATTTAACTGCTGCTTCCATTTGATATCTACATAAAACTAATGGGAAATATATCTTTTTTATTTCCATTTACTTTTGAGAATTTGCTTTGTGTGCACCTGGGAATGCTGACCTCAGAACAATAATTAAGTTTTAAGTCATTCTTTATTACTGCACTATGTTTGTCACAGATGCTCAGTCAATATTGAGGATCACCATTTATAGCAAAATCCAACCAGACTAACTTCAAAAAGTTGTAAAAGTGGGAATGAAATATAATTAAAATATAACCAGTAAACAGCACCCCACCCTGTCCCTCAATCAAGAACTTTTTTACCTTTAATGATTTGGCCCCCTTTTTGTCACCTGCAAACATGGATTTCTCATCAAAGTGCATGGGGAAGGACCTGGTGAAATGACAGTATTATAATAAGTTACAGATAGAAAATCCAGGTACCTTGTGTTAGTGTTTAAGAAGAATTTTCTATTCCTATAAATATTTAAGATTTATTATTTAATTATAGGACAGTAACACTTCACAGATAAACTATTTAATAAAAGACTAAAGGGCTATATAATTTATAAGATTATAATGTTTGAAGGAAACTGCATGATAAAATAATGTTAAAAAGGAAAAGCAATTTATGTGGAAAACATGCATACTCTTATAAAATGCTTTTAAAACTTAATTTACTTTCAGAACTTTTTGATCTAACTTTCTTCCATGTTCATATTAATATCCACTAAACTTGAGTTTTAGAGACTAAGCATTTTTTAAAAAAAGTTATACTCTGGAAAATAAGGCTAATGCTTCTGTATGTAACCATCTTAATGCTAACATACTTTTGATACCACTTAGATTTAAATAGCAATTGGAGGGTGGGGGATATAGCTCAGCGACACAGTGCCTGCCTGACAAGCGCGAAGTTGTGAGTTCAATTCTGGGTACCAAAAAACCCCCCCAAAAATAAAAAAATAAAAATAAATAGCAATTGGAGGAATACAAAATTGGTAGAAAGAACCTTAAAGTAGCATTACAATTTGATACAACATAAAACCTTAAATTGTATTTTAAAATACAGCCTATTTTCAAGTGTGAAGGTTTCTGTAACAGACCTTTATAGATTCTTTTTAGTTCACGTGTTTAGAAATAATTACGTGGCCAGCTAAGTGGCACAGCGCCTGCCTGGCAAGCACGAAGTCCTGAATTTGATTTCCGGTACCCCAAACAAATGAAAAAACCCTTAGAAATAATTAAAATGCTATTGTCCCACTAACATTTGCCTTCTCAGTTCTACTTCTCCCTTTTCCTAACTTCTAGGAGTCTGTTCTGGTTGCATTTCAAGTGTGACATCATCTGAACACAGTGCCGGGATATCTCAGAACACTGACAGTCAGTTCTTACTTTGTATCTTGAAAGATACTCAGTAGAAGGGTTTTAGAGTCAGCATCTTCTTCTGTATTTCCAGTGTAAAGATCGACAATGGAGCGTTCAAAGTAGGGGGCCACCTTTGACAAAGCTCGCAGCTCAATCAAGTATAAAAAGTACAGATTCTTAAGCCTTCTAGGACCTTCTCCCTTGGTTTCTACAGGGTCAAAGCGGCGTTTAAATTCTTTGATATTAGGTCCCCAACTAGGTTTACCCCAGGTTTCTAAAAAGAAAGAGAAATGTATTACATTCTTTTAATAAAAAGGACTTTGCTCTAGAGTATATACCCCCCAATTAATTTTTACTCTAAAAATGCCAAAATCTCCACTTAAAATTTGATTACCTTCCAGAAGATAATTTGCACACAGATGTAAATTGATGCTGGCATGAAGTCCTGATATAAGCTTATAGAACACTCTCTTCTCCAGACACAAACCTGCTCAGAAAAATATTGAAAAACAAATCATGCACATTCAGATAACAGAAATACTGAATCAAGGATATTCAGTACACAGGCTTATTTTCAAGTTACGATTCAAGTACCTTAAAAATAAATCAAGAAATAATATATAAATAACTAGGTCAAGATTACTTCACTAGAAGACAAAGTAAGAATCTGCCTTCTGAAAGGAGTTGTGTACGATGAGAACTTGACGCAGAAAAGGCGTAATGGTCTGGGCTCCGCAGGTCCGAACACCGTGGGCTCTGCTGGCAAGTTCCCACACTGCCCAGAAGGTGACAGCACAAGCTTTCCACGTGTTAGGCTAAGAATTTACTAAAACAAATGTAATTATATAAAGTTACTGCCTTGACCAAACAAGGTAGCTGTTTCTCCATGTTCCTCTATTTGCATGTCTTTCTTTGAACCTACTTGGTAGTGGATAACAGAGATAGTGAGTCTTATTAACATTTTGCCCTCTAGTTGTCTAGTTATAAATGAATGTTCTATTTATAGAGATAAAACTCTGAAAACAGACATCAAGGAATTTCAAGTAATAAAATGTTATATTGACTACTATGCAAACACAGTCATATGTGGAGTTTAGGAAGAGGATGGAAATTGCTTTGTGTAGACTTCTTAACCCACACAGGCTTTTACTTAGCATTTATGATGGAGCTCACGATAATCCCAGAATCCTATCCTATCCCACCTCCATTTTAAAAGATTTTCTCATAATAAGCGTGGTATAAATTGTGAATGTACTTAAAGCTACTAATTAGTAAACTTCAAAGTGGGTAAGATGGGACTGGGGGGTGTAGTCAGTGGTAGTACATGTGGTTAGCACGTGCAAAGCCCTAAGTTTGATCCCCCTACACCAAACAAACAAAAGGTTAAAATGGTAAATTTTATGTTGTCAACATTTTATCACAAAAAAAAATTTTTAGACTATAAATTTTTAAAAAGTAAATGAAGATGCAGAAAAGTTTTAGGAATCCACTAGATATAGAGCAACTAGTTTTCTCTATTCTTCATTACCCAACTGTGTGTGTGTGTGTGTGTGTGTGAGAGAGAGAGAGAGAGAGAGAGAGAGAGAGAGAGAGAGAGAGAGACACAGAGACAGAGACAGAGAGACAGAGAGAGACACAGAGACAGAGACAGAGAGACAGAGACAACACCCTTTTGGTGGAGGAAAATGGGCTTTAACAGTAGACAGTATAGTCTAATCTATACTCTGGGGTAATTTTGTTAATGTAAGGGTATATATGTGGTATATTTGAATTTGTCAAGCTCTTTCAAATCCCAATTTACCCTTTATGTCTTAGCATAAATGGTCCTGCAGCAAGCAGCATCTAATTGGAAAAAATACTTCTTTTTTGAAATCTTATTCTTTAATTCAGAATTCTTGCTAGAATACTCAAATTTTCATGGATGGAAACCAAAAAGTAGAAAAATTCTATTTTGTACCTTCCTCCTAGAAGTCTATAGCCAATTTTAAATACTCATAGATAATAAGGGATACAAACAATATGAATAGATCCAATAAAGAATTAAGTACCAGTTCTCTAATAAAAATTTCATCAAACCTGTTATTAAGTATCAAAGATCAAATTTGAAATTCACTTTCCAACCTACTTCTTTAGCAGTGTTTCTATCCAACAATATGGCTAAAGGCTAGAGATGAGCAGACAAATGAAAGATCATGAAAATTCCTAGGCTTAACATACAGGACCTGGAAAACTGGGAGATCTAATTTGCAAAGCTCACAAAGCCCTTAACTTGAAGCGGGCAGGTGATAAGTGAGGAAAAGTGGGGTAGAAACGTACTTTGATGGGCTGAGGAGTAATAGCAAGCAAAATGGTAATTAGGGCACCAATAAGACACACAATATGCTTTACCAGGATACTGATACTGCTGGAGAGCTTTTCTCCCGCCTGGTCTATTGCCAGGCAGTGGTAGCTCTGACTGTGGAGGGCCAGGCACAAGCCTTCTGAGTCTTGCTCTGAGGTAACACCTGCCAAGGGCAGCTACGAACACAAAATCTACCAACTTCTAGTTTTAACAATACAGAGCAAATTCAACTGCCCAATTTAGGAAGGGTTCTCCTCTTCCTCTTCTAGATTTAATTTTATTCAAATTAATTTTCAGCAATGGAATTATGGGCTACTGATATATTTTTCTCTCTTATCAAAGGGTTAGATGTACAGTGGCAGTATTTTTGGCATTTTGACAGTGTTTAGTGGTTTTCAAAAAATTTTACAGGGATCATCTATGCTAATATTTTAGGTTAGTAGGAATGCTTTTGTCATTCTCAAGCTCCAGATGAGGAAAACCGAATCTCTCAAATGGTTGCGCCAGCTGCCAATAAAAAGGACTGCTTTCTTGAACCTTGCATCAACATTCAGGAACACACAATAATAGGATACAAGAAAAATGGTCAATGCAATGCACCTAGAGTCCACTATTGACCCCAAATTTCACTCTTACCCTTGTCATTCAGAATCTCCAATGACCTCTTTAAGCCTAAATGCTACTTTTCAAGATTGTATCTTTAGAGTAGAACTTAGTCATTAAACAAAGTTGGGCATATTCTACTTAAGTCATTTTCTCAAAATAACTCTTAACAGTGTTTGTATAACAATGTTTTCTTTAATAACAACCAATATACACACATAGTTCATTAAAAACAAAGAGAAGATATGTTCATAAAACAACATGACCAATAACAAACAAAATAGAATGGACTGCTTAGTTTAACTTTGTTTATTATAAGGTTATGGCCATGAAATATCAATTTTCCTATGTAATTCAACTTGCTCACCTTCCACTAGTATGTTTTAACTTTTAGTTTTATAAAACAATAGTAACTTGGTAAAGGTAGTTTTCAAAAGCATCATATATCCAGTTATTAACATAAGTTGGCAAAAGCCTAAAATATTTTTCAACTTTCCATGAATAACATATTATATTTTCAACACTAGAAATAAGAAGTGCAAAGTATCTAATAAATAAAAATCTGTATCACTTTATCTTTTAGTTAATGAGACCAATTTTGACTATATTATCATAGGCAAACATGTTTAGAACCTTCTGAACTCAATTTATCTACCCTTATTTTATATATGTAAAAAACACTTCTCTCTGAATGGAATGTCTCTACTTTAAAGATAGGTTTGCTTACTGGGTATCGGAAAAGCAGTCTGGATGAGCACTATTACAGAGGGAAGTAAGCTGGGGGAACTAGTTAGGCAAAACTAATGACACCATCTGGCCTGTATAGTACATACTAGTTTTCAGCTGACCACGAGATTTTTCAAATAATTTTATCTCAAAGTTTAGTAACTTAAACATGTTATATTATTTTGAACAACTGTCAAAATTAGTTGTCTAGATAATAAAATTCTAAAACTCACAAAAAGTTTTTTACAAAAAGCCAATAAATTTAAAACAGATGATTAAGTTACCTTCTAGCCATGTGTAGAATGATTCTCCTGTGAGAGACAGAGACACAGAGAGACACAGAAAACTAGGTTAAAATATTTCAAATGTTCACTTATATACTACAATGAATGAAACTATAAAATATTTGTTTGTTTGTTTTGGTTTTTCTCCGGTACCGGGAACCAAACTCACGACCTTGCACTTGCCAGCCAGGCGCTTTGCCGCTGAGCTAAATCCCCAGCCCTATAAAATATTTATTATGTCAGATTAAGGATTCTGTGTAGAAATGTCTACTGCTCAAGGTGAAATGCAAAAATAGGCATATAATTTTAGAAAATAAAGTCCACATGTAACTTAAATAACACTAGAGAATGTTCTTAAAATATTACTATTAAAGTGTTTGAGATAACATTTCTGTTTAAATATTACATGAAATTTATTAAAGATTTCAACATCCAAAAGCATGGTGACAAGCTAGTTTAATAATCTTAAATCTGCTTTGATAGTACCATAGTACTATCAGAGTGGTACAACCATAGTACTTAGTATCAACCAAAGTAGTATCAACCAAAGTTGGTAACAACCATAGTACCTTTTTTTAAAAGTCCAGAAAAAATAGTGAATTAAAAGTAATACACGATGAAATTACTAACTATTCCATTTTTCCTAAGTCAATAAACCTAAGTATATTTGCTCAATTACCTACATTTCAAGGAATAATTTTATTTATTTATTTATTTTTGATGGGGGTACCAAGAATCGAACTCATGACCTCATGCTTGCAAGGCAAGTGCTGTGCCACTAAGCTATATCCCTAGCCCATCAAGGAATAATTTTAAAAGCCTCTGATTTTCAATATAATTCTTCAGGAAAGTGAATGGATAGAATACAGAGGAGTCTGAGTTATCTGTGTACTGATGCTCTAAGAACTATTCTTGGGGTTCAAGAGATAGAAGTCAAAGGCCACAAAACTTCAGTTAGTAGGAATGTATATAGACTTACTGTACAACATGATAACCCCAGTCAATAACAATGTATGTATCAGACTCTTGAAGACTGCTAAGATTTTCAATGTTTTCACTACAAAAAAATGGTAAGTACCTGAAATAATATGTGTAGTACTTAGCTTGATTTAGTCATTCCACAATGGATACAAACTATAAAACATCATACTGACATGATAAATATGTATAATTTTTGTCAATTTAAAAAGTGAGAGTGAGCAAGCTATTCCTGGCCCAATACAGTACTTCTGAGTGAAAACAACATGGCAGTTGCTAAGGATTAAACTGTTAAGTGTATGTCCTAAATTCTTATCTTTACCTATTTTTTAAATTCAGAAAATAACAGAAAACCCAACACGTTGTACGAAGTCTAGGGGATAAAATCCCCGGTGGAAATTTCTTTGCCTTTTGAGATGCTCAGTAAAGAGCACAAACACCTTTCTATAGTCATTCACTGAACTTCTCCTCACTAAGGATCATTATTATCTAACCGGACAGGTAGTGCCCAAAGTCATCAATAATTTTCCCAGTCTATCATTTTAAGTGAACACTACAGCTAGGCATGGGATTGCATCCTGTAATCCCAGCTATTCAAGAGGCTGAGGCAGGAGGATTGAGAGTTTGAGGCAAACCTGGGGAACAATGAGACCTTCTTTCAAAGCAAAAATAAAAAGCAAAAAACAACCACTATCTGGTCTTTTCTTTTGCTAATGTGACCACCTTATGCCTCCCACCATGTTTGACTTTTCCTTGCTCAGCCCATGCTATTTTGCCTCCAATAAACATGCACTATCCAACTCTACTGGCCTACATCTGCTCTTTGATTGAAATTAATCTCAAAGGCATCTCTTCAAGTGAGCTTGCCCATGTCACTCTGGTGACACACTTGTCATACCCATAAAGAGCTATACCACCTACTGATTGTACTATGTAGAAAGCACTTCTTCATTTGTTACATTGTACAGTGCTCATTTCTCCTACTATGCATCGTCAGCTCCCAATGGGAAGACACTGTGCCTATACACCTTCCTCTTCCGCACAATACCCACCACTGTGCCCTTGAGCACAAAGAAGTAAATGCTAACTGAAACCATTATTCCGGTGGTTTTAGGTGCCTTATGACAGATATTTAGTCACATAAAGGAACCAACTATTGAGAAATTGCTCTTCATCAGATTAAATAGTACACTGAAAATTAAGATTATAAATTTCAAAGTCTGCAAGCAAATAAAGAAGTTATAAATTACCTGGTAGAACTACCTTAGCTTTGCTCCATTTCTTCAGAATGCAATTAAGTATATTTTAATAACCAGGAAGTGGGAACTTGAATGTGAACTGAGTTTCTATACCAAACATTTAAGTTAAATGGCTTTATACTTTTTTAAACATAGGATAACTATACATGATAAAAATAATTTTATGTTTGTCACCATTCACTAGTAGCTATTTTCTGGAAAACCAGGGTGTTTTCTTTTAAATCAACATGAAAAATCACATTTGGAGAGTTGAAAACATTTCTTCTACATTTGAAGCAAACAAACAATAATTTCAACTTACCATCATCTTCACCTAAAAGAGAAAATAAAAGATTTTAGAAAATGTTTATATTAGAACTTACTGTTAAACTCTTCATATCATGGGTGAATGTGCAGACATCTGCAAATAAGGCTTTTTAATAAGAAGCAGACCAGGGGCTGAGAATTTAGCTCAGTGGCACAGCACCTGGCAAGCACAAGGTTGTGAGTGTGATTCCTGGTACCGGAAAAAAACCCAAAAAACCAAAAACCAAAAAAAAAAAAAAAAAAAAAGAAGCAGACCAAAGAATATATGATTTTCATATACTTTTATACAATATGTTGTAAAGATAAGAAAGTAAATAAAATACTTAATTCATAAACACTAGTAGTTCCAATAATGAATGTATACCATGGCCCTTTCCTTTTTTTTTGTTTGTGTTTTTGTTTTTTCTGGTACCAGGAATTGAACTCATGACCTCACACTTGCCAGGCGCTGTGCCCCTGAGCTAAATCCCCAGCCCCCAACTGTGGCCCTTTCAATCATATGCACACACCTCTCTGAACACCATTTTCACTCTCAGGGACTCTACTGGATGACACTTCAGCACAGACACAGTCCTCAAGGGGAGGACCCAGGAGACTCTGGCTGGGCTGCAGGGAGGCCAGGAGGTTGGCTGTGGCTTCCACAATGGCTCCACCTTGGTCAGCTTTTTCTGAGGAATTCTAATGGAACATTTCACTTTTGGAAAAAAAGGTTCTGCTGCTCAAAAACGTTTGGAAATACAATTGTAGAAGCCTCACTGCTCTAATTGGAGAATGGAGGGTAAAACAGTGGAGAAGGTCAGCGGGGAGGCTCATGTCAGCACCCAGGCGGGTTACAGAAGTGCCTCCCAGGCACCGGCCTAGCTGGGTCAGCATCCCTCCCACCTCTTATTTCATTTTTTCCCTTCTTTTTTCCTCTCTCCTCCCTCCAACTTCTCTATGTAGTGATTTCCTTTCTTTATCTTTCTAGCAATTTTATGTCTGATTACTGTAACATGGAAATGAAACATTTGTTAAGACTTGATTTTTTTTTGCTAAACCCCAGACATCTTCAGGAAGCCTGGTGAGTCTGGGCTCTGCCTCCCCGACCAGCGTGTAAGGCAGGCGAAACCTTGGGCACCCTCTGGGGCCTTGGTGGCTACGTACCACACCCATAGTGTGTGGGCCTGGGCTGGGCTGAACCCCAGACATCTTCAGGAAGCCCGGTGAGTTGCAGTTTTGCATCCCTGACCAGTGTGCAAGGCAGTCAAAACCTCAGGCACCCTCTGGGGCCTAGCAGGCTCTCTGCCACACCCATAGTGTGTCTTCTGGGGCTGGGCTCAACGTCAGACACCTTTAGCAACCTGGTGAGTTACTCTGGTGCCTCCCCCACTAGGGTGTGAGGCACGAGGATCCCTGGACAACTTCTGGGGCTTTGGTGGTCACTGCCAGAACAACTTACACCCCTCTATTAGCTCAGCTGAAACCTGAACATAGTCAGCGGCTTTGGGGAGTGTACCCTCACCTCTCCCCTTCCAATGTGGGAAGCAGGCTCTGTCCTGGGCAATATCTGAGGCCTCAGTGAACTTGACCTGCATCCCCCCTCTACTCTTGTGGAAGCTGGGCCGAACTCCAGACAGTCTCAGGAATGCTGGTGAACCTCCCCCGCCCTTCCCACACATTCCTGGAAGCCAACTGAATGCAAGAAAGGTGGGGAGCATCTGGGACCCCAGGTGCTAACACTCACCAGCACAGGAGCTATACTGAGCACTAGGGATCTTCAGACTCTCACCCTGCCACTCACACACAATCAGGACAGTGAGACTGCACTGCAGGGAGTCTCTGGTTCTTCAAAAATGACAAAACGAAGGATCAAAATGCAATCCCAGACCTCCACACCACCCAAAACAAGTCCAGGAAGCATCAACACAGAAGAGCCTGGAAGTCATACATCTGAAATATCTGAAATGATAGCAACTGAAGTAAAGAAACAACTCCATCAGGCCATAGAAGACATTAGATCAGAAATAATGTCTCAGGTGAAAAAGAAATGAAAATAATGAAAGAAATGTTCAGCATATCCAAAGATGACACTGACAAGAAAATAGAAGAGCACAGACAACTCAATGAAACCTTCAGGGAACAATATAGAAAAGAACTAGAAGGTATGAAACAGATGCAAACAGATATCCAGGAACTTAAAAATACCACTGAAAGCTTGCAAAACTGCCTGAACGAAGCTGAAGATAGACTTTCAGACCTTGAAGACAGCATTGCCACTAATGAATGTGAAAGGAGGGGTCTCTTAAAAACAGCAAGGAACCAGGAAATAACAATTCATCAACTGCAAGATGAAGCAAAGAGAAACAATGTCAGATTAATAGGTATTAATGAAACAGCAGGTGTCAACACAAATGACATAAAAAGACTATTTGCAGCAATAATAGCAGAAAATTTCCCAGGCATGGTAAAAGAACTGGACATCCAGATAAGTGAAGCATACAGAACTCCAGTTAATCATAACCAAAATAAATCTACCCCCAGACATACAGTGATCAAGATCCTGGAAACTCAACAAAAGCTCAGAATATTAAAAGCTGTTAGAGGAAAAGAAACAGATCACCTGTAAAGGAAAGCCTATCAGAATCACAGCAGACTTCTCAACACAAACCATCAAGGCAAAAAGAGCTTGGAGTGAAGTATTTCAGGTACTGAAGGAAAACTACTTCCAACCCAGATTGATGTACCCTACAAAGCTATCTTTCAAATTTAATGGAGGAATAAAATATTTTCATGATAAAGAACAACTGAAGAAATTCATGAGTGCCAAACCAGTCCTACAAAGAGTACTAAAAGATATACTAGAAAGAGATAAAACAGACCACAACTTCAAGAACAACAACAGAAAGGAACCAAAAAGCAGAGCAAGTAATGAAACAGAGGGAAAAAGGAGGATCCAACAGCAGGAAAATAGCATGACAAAGATAAACCAAAGATGGTTATACATATCTGTTATAACCATCAATGTAAATGGTCTGTTATAACCATCAATGTAAATGCACCAACCAAAAGAAGCAGACTTGCAGAGTGGATTAGGAAACAAAACCCAACTATATGCTGTATACAAGAAACACATTTAACTCCAAAGGAAATTCAAAGACTGAAAATTAAAGGATGGAAAACAATACACGCGACAGGAACCCAGGAAAAAGTGGGTGTAGCTATTCTGTTTCCAGACAACGTGAGCTTCAAACCAAGAACAATCAAAAGAGATAAAGAAGGTCACTACATACTTGTGAAGGGGAAGCTTCAAGAGGAAGAGATAACAATCATAAACATCTATGCACCAAATATAGGAGAACCTACCTATATAAGACAAATTCTAACAGACATGGCAAATGAAATAAGTAGCAACACAATCATAACAGGGGACTTTAACACACGATTGTCACAAAGAGATAGATCAACTAGACAAAAAATTGGGAAAGAAATAACAGAACTTAACCAAATGTGTGAACATATGGACTTTGTAGACCTTTACAGAGTGTTCCATGCAACATCAGATACACATTCTTCTCAGCTGCACATGGACGTTCTCTAAAATAGACCATATACTAGTACACAGAACATGTTTAAATGCAAAGGAAATGAAATTATCTCATGTATACTATCAGTGCAAGCAAACTGGAAATTAATGACAAAAGAAAACACAAAAACTCCACAAACAGTTGGAAATTAAATAACATCCTCCTGAACAACCAATGGGTCACAGATGCAATCAAAGTAGAGATTAAACACTATTTACAATCAAACGAAAATGGAGATACAACCTACAGGAACCTGTGGGATGCAATGAAAGCAATCCTCAGAGGGAAATTTATAGCAGTGAACTACCTTAGGAAAACAGAACAAGCACAAATAAACAATCTTATGCTGCACCTCAAGTTCTTAGAAAAAGCAGAGCAAGTCAAACCCAGAGCCCAAAGAAGGCATGAAATTACAAAGCTCAGCGCAGAAATTAATGCAATGGAGACTAAAAAAACAATACAAAGAATTAATGAATCAAAAAGTTGGTTCTTTGAAAGAATAAATAAAATAGATAAACCCCTAGTCAACCTTATCAAACAAAGGAAAGAGAAAACTGAAATAAATGCAATAAGGAATGAAAGGGGTGAAATCACTACAGATCCTGAAGAAATTCAGAAGATCATCAATACCTGCTTTGAAAATCTTTACTCTCACAGGAGGGCAAACACAGAAGAAATGGACAGATTTCTAGATACATATGAATTACCAGAGCTGAATGAAGAAGATATAAAAATCCTGAATAACTCAATATCAGCCA